TTGAAATAATATGTTCAAAAAGTAAATTTTTTCTCTCCAAGGTAGGATAGACAATATATCGAAGATCAGTTTAGCGGAGTTAAAAAAGATCCTGCTAAAAAACGAGAAGAAAAAATAGCAAGATACAAACGGGAAAAAGAGACTAAAGCAAAAGTTGAGGTAAATCAAAAACAAATCGATCAACCACTGATTCCGCTAATGTTATTCATCAAGACCGCTCATCTCATGACATTTAATTTTTTAATTTTCATTTGAATATAGGCATTACATCAACAATTATCTTCTAGAAGAGATAAAGGAAAAAGCAAAGATGAAGATGATTATGATGATATCAATCGAGATTATGTCTTAACACTTATCGACTTATTCACACAGAAATCTATTGAATCACTAATATTGATTAATCAAGAACTTGATTTATTAAATAATATGAAAAAAATCCAAGAGCAAAAAAATTACAATGAATCATCAACGTCGTCACTAAATGATGATAATAAAATTGAAGAAATTTCAAGAAATAATGAAGGGCCGTTATTATCAAAAGAAGGAAAGGTGAGTATGTGAGTGATTAATGTAGGAGGGAATACATATAATATATAATTTATTAATTGTACTTGTTTCGGCGAATTGATATATATTAATTTATTTTAGCCACTTAGATCTTTTATAATTACAAATCAGCGTGAAGAAATACTTCAAAAAGTTTTTAGGCCAGGTTGGAGATTACCAACTATGACAATTGATGAATATCTTCAAAAAGAAGCTGAAAGAGGAAATATCATAAGTGGTGGAGGGTATGTTGTTTTCTTTTTTAATTGTGATGAAAATAATTTTTGATATGTGCTAAAGAATTTTATTAAAAAAAAAAGGAACATGCCAGAAAAAAAGGAAATCGATGACGATGATGAGCAAGCTGTTAACGCCGAAACATATAAAGCAAGGGAGTGGGATGAATTTAAAGATGCAAATCCACGAGGATCGGGTATAATAACTTTATTGATATATATAGTGTGTGTTATGCAACATGTAATAAGACTAATTAAAATATTGCTTATATTTAGGAAATCAAATGGGCAAAGGCTAATTAATTCATATATTATTCTAATACTATTATTACTATAATTTTCTTTCTCTTCCCCCCCTTGTATACATCTTTATTAGAAA